GTTCGATTGCTACTGCAAATCACGAATCTTAATGAGGATAAAAGCAAAGGAAACAAAGGTACATAAAGGCATGGCATTCGCACTAGGTTGTCTTTGACGAAATGGACTATTTTTGTGTTTTTTTTTGTGTGTGTGTGGAACCAATTAGATGTGATTAGCATTGAATCGAGCATTGCATCAGCATTCAACTTGCCTACTTACTCCGAGGTGGTGATGCGAATCATTGATCCAGCCAATGTGGCACTGGATTCGGTGGAAATTACATTCAAAGACCAATACATGGGACGATCGGAAATGTGGCGACTCAAAACTTATTTGGTAGGCACTTTTATCATTCAATTGGATTTTTCTGCGTCTTTTTCCTCGTATTTTGTAATCAATTTCGATTCAATTAAAACAAAAAAGTTTTTCTTTGTTGTATTAAAACGATCATGACCCAATTCTTTACCCTACACGTTTGATGTTCGCAATTTCAGACAAATACGTGCGTGTATACCAATAAAAAGATCGAATACTGCACATCATCGATTCGATGTCAAATCTATGAGCTATGGTCACAAGGTGATCGTGTTGCGTGTGGTGTCATCACTGAGGATACAAAAGTCGTGTTCCGAAGTAGCACATCGATGGTTTATCTCTTCATACAAATGTCATCGGAAATGTGGGACTTTGACATTCACGGCGATCTGTACTTCGAAAAGGCTGTCAATGGTTTTCTCACTGATCTGTTTATGAAATGGAAGAAAATGGGTTGTAATCATGAGGTGACAATCGTATTGTTTTCGCGAACATTTTACGCAGCTAAAAGTTTGGAGGAATTCCCACCGACGATGCGTGAGTGCCTGCAAATGGACTATAAGGGTCGATACTATGAGGATTTCTATCGTGTTGCCATTCAAAATGAGCGAAACGATGACTGGAGCTCCCTCCATATTGGTTCAGTTGCGAAAATTATTTACGGCATATCAGAGCATTGTATTGCATTATCATGAACGACCCGGAGTCACAATTCCACCAGCCACGAATTCAACCGCAGCCCAAGGGAACTTCCTAGAAGTGCTGAATATTTCGTTGAATGTCTTCGAGAAACATTATTTGGATCGGAGTTTCGATCGCACGGGGCAGCTTTCGGTTGTGATTACGCCCGGTGTTGGTGTGTTTGAGGTCGACCGAGAACTGACCAACATCACAAAACAACGGGTAATGCATTCCATCTACACAAACAACGAACAGCTGGAGTAAATATTCTTTAAATATTGTATCTTTGTAGATTATAGACAATGGTGTGGGCAGCGATTTGGTTTGTGTTGGCGAGCAACCGCTTCACGCAGTGCCTTTGCTGAAATTCCATAACAAAGACTCATCGATTGATGCCATCGATGATTATTCTATGCCCCATTGGATCAACTTGAGCTTCTATTCAACCAATAAAAAGGTTGCATATTCATCATTCATACCGCGCATCAAGTTGCCCCCATTACGATCGCCATCGGACAAAGAAGATGAAAATAAAGAGAATCAACGACAGAAATTTAGCGTTGATTCACATCAAAGTGAATATATTCATAACTCATTATTTGATTACGATGCATATGACGCACAAATATTCACGCTGCCCTCGATTCACGGGACATGGTAAATTGAATCGTATCTTTTTTGAATTGGACTTGAAGTTTTTCAAATTTTTTTTTTTTTAATTTTCTCAATTTTTCGAATCTTCAGTTCTCTGCAACGGAATCCGAGAGCGAAAAAGTCCTCCGTGCCAAATATCGATAATGATGCGATAATCTGAATATTTCCGAGTCAATGACAACAATTGACAAGCAAACAAGAAACCATGTGCCAATCAACGAGTCAAAGGTATTGACGCGACCTGGTCGTGCCTTGATTAATCCGTTTGCTCCGTCGCATGTGACAATAAAATTGACTTCAAACCGACGGCGATGGACACACATTTTCCCAAAAGATCCGACCGGTGTATTGATTCAGCAGCATCACTACCAGGCGGTTCCAACGAATTCCTTCAATTTTGTTACGGATGACAACAATCAGACGAATTCCCCACGACCAATCCCCACAAATAGATCACTAACACAATCATTCACTGGCAGCATTTGTAGTTTATCGAGCATTTCTGAATGTGAGTCTATTTCTTAAATTTTATACCGTTTTCGGCAAATTCAAAGTGTAATTCATTCAAACAGATAAGAGAAAATCGTCAGCATTACATTCACCGGCTGGTCCAATGGTGACAGTTGAACCGTCAAAAACGTTAACACTATTGTGGGGTGCGACTGGTGAGCAAGAATGGACACCAGCCCTTACAACGGGTAAGAAAACTGATCTCACAATACATATCAATCCAACCGAATAAACATTCAAAGCCAGAGAATGTGAATATAACTAATTTTTTCTTCTGAATGATTTTTAACCATAATTGATTTTGAAGCACAAACAAAATCGATTAATTGAGGCTGTGAGAATGAAAATGGCAATACAGGAATAAACATTCTGAAATGCATCAAGAAAAAAAATTCGCAAAAATGAATCATGAGTTCTGAATATGCAAAAGTGAAACATGAATTTACATGGGCAGCATAGGAGGTTCATGGTTCACTTTTGCGTATTCAGAACTCATGATTCATTTTTGTGAATTTTTTTTTCTTGGTGCGCTTCAGAATGTTTCTTACTGTATTGCCATTTTCATTCTCACAGCCTCAATTGCAAAAATAATGAGAGATTAAAATCAAAGAATTTTTTAAAAATATTCAGGATGTGGTAAAAGCTACAGCTTTTCTAAACGATTGAGTAGTATTTGCATTTTAATCAGAAACAAAATTTGTGAATAATTCCCAAACACATCTTATCTAATCGAAACAGTTTTATTCTGTGGACAAATTGAGAACTAAATTTAAGGATTGAAAACCAACATAATATTTAATATTTTGAAACGAATTTTTTTTTAAGAGAAAACCAGAAAAAAGCTTGGGAGAAATAATTAATGGAATATATTCTTTCTTCTTTTTTCAATACGTTTCATGTGCCCATGAATTTAAACAAAAAAAAACACAAAATTAAAAAACCAAACATCATCACCCTCATCATTGCTCTCCGAACTCGAAATCAAATTCTAAAAAATCTTAAATGAAAAAAGGACACGCAGCCGGCAAAATAATCATAGGTTTACATTTATTCTTTTTCTACTTCTTAATTATTTTTCATTCCGATTTTCACCAAGTTTCTTATTATTTAATCCATTAATATCTATTGGTCGAACCACAGACTCTTATCGACTGGATTTTTTTTATATCCCTTTCGATTGTAGACATACTCAAGTGCGAAATTTCCATTTAAATTGCTTTATAATTGCATTGCGTAAAATATGTGGCTTGTAGAATTTGGCAAAGTTTTCCTTTTTCATCATTCAGCTATTTTTGATTTTTTTTTTTTCATGAAAACTTTAGAGCAAAAAATAATTGAAACAAAATTCAAGTAATCAAAATCTGAGCGTCTAAAAGTGTTCAATTTATAAATTGAATATCAAACGAAATTAAATGGAATTAGTGTTGCTTGTGACAAAGTAGCATTCATTCATGATCAATAAGTAGATTGGTTCATTTGTTTAAATATTTTTTGCGGAAAAATGTACTATACATCCATAATTATTTTTCTCTCAAATTTTTGAAATACCAGAAACAGTATTTCAAACCATTTTTGATTATCTTAAAATCACTACCATCGAATTGACACTAGTAGTAGTTTCGTTCATTTTGAGTTACTATTGGCTATTGGCTTGGGCTTAATTAATGGATTTGTTTTTCTTTCTTCGAAACACAATGAATTCTATTTTGCATTTTCTTTTAGTTACCGATGAGCAAAATATACACAAAACTATTATTCAAAAATCCTAATCACCACAGTCATTTCAAAATGATGTACAAGTTCGTTGAAATTGAGTTAACGGATGTGTTCAATTGCAAATATTAGAATATAAGTGGTGAAATGGACTCAATTTCAAATGAAATCAATTGAAATGACAATCCGAAGAACTAGTTTGCATGTGTCTTTTTTCACTTAATTTTAGTCGAAAACAAAAATATATAGGGGGAGTATGTGTAAGTTGACCCACCCCGCCGATTTTGTATTTTGACCGACAAATCGTCAATTTGGCTAGTCTCAATCGATTTGGAAACGTCAAAAACCAATATAAAAGTAGTTCCCAAGAGTAAATACGCTTCTTAAACGGCTCGGATCGGCTCATAAAAATTTTTTTGCAAAAAAAAAATCATTTTTATAAAAACTAAATTTTTTCGGACCATCATCAAGTAGACAATTTCAAAGTAATCAGCTAAGCGAGTAAAAGCTTTCTTCACTAGTTTTTCGTGTATTTTCATAATCCAAAGTCATTTCACACATATCGTTACATGGCGAAATTCTTTCCGTGCATATTGAAATGTCGACCAATTTTGTAAGTTGACCCACCCGAAAAAAAATCAGAAAAATGAAACAACTATTAAGACACTCAATACACGAGATTCATTGAATTTTAATGAATTTCCAATCGTTTTTGGACTTGAAAAACACGAAAAAATCGACGCAATATGAAAAAATAGAGAATATGTATTTTTTTTACAATTTCTATATTTTTTTATTGTTTTTCGTAGTTGTACAGACCAAAAACGATTGAAAATCCAACGAAATTCAATGAATTTCATATATTGAGTGTTTATACTGCATGCTTTTCTAAAAAAAAATAGGGTGGGTCAACTTACAAAGAAAAAATTTTGTTGCCAAAAATCAGATCTCTTAGAAAATTGACCGAAATATTTTGTTTTTACAACCATAGCTAATGAATTTCCTAATCAAATTGTAGCTTTTTCGGCTCTCTTTCCAATGGTATATCCAGTGTGCATTTATATTTATTCCATAAAAATTTATGACTAAAATGATTAGTGCGGGTCAACCTACACATAATTCCCCTATAATTTTCAAAATCTTGCAAAATGCATGAGTTTTCATAGAACAATTTTTTTTTTCACTTGAACTATTCTTTCATATGTAGAAAAAACATTTTGGATTTGCTTAACAATCACATTCACGCTTTTTTCGTTTTTTTTTCTCCATCGTTTTTTTCTCCGACATTTCATTTTTTTCGACTCACTAATTATCATTATTACTTGTGTTTTTTTGTTGAAAAAAAAAAATGGACAAATCTATTTGGAATGAAAATAAATTAGGTGTGGACTGGAAATCGTTGACGATTCCGGCCTGTTTGCCAATCACAACGGATTATTTCCCCGATCAACGATCACTGCACAACGATTATGTTGTGTCCGATTATACTTTGCTGCCGGACAGTGTGAACGCAGAGTATGCCGCTAATCGAGCTATTTATCGCAAACCATTGACCACCGAAGAAGTGTTCAGAGAGTTGATATCGCAACGATTGGCTCAGGTAAAGAATTCATTCGGATTTAATATGCTAAGCACAATTGATCATCACTTGTTCAAGAAAAATGTTTTATTCTTTCAGGGTTTCCAATTGATTGTGATGCCCGATAAAAACGAAGTGAATCTAAACATTTCACATTATATGCATTCATCGCGACCGAGTTCGGGTAGTGGCAATGTGTCAATTAATCATTTGAAATGCGGCACAAATATGATATCGAAAACATCGACGCCGGTGCGTTCATCGATTGTGCAGCCCACCAACGGCACTGAACGAACTAAGGAATTTTTGTTGTCTATCGGTCGCATCTTCCATAAGATAGGATTAGTCGATTCGGAAATCACAGTCACACGATATCGTCCACGGCATCCGTATCCACCGATCAACGTTGACTATCGATACCGCTTCCAAGCGCCACAACATTCAACCTATGAAATATCTGGCGTAAATTTCACCACGGAAAAACTCGAGCACTTCAATTGGAACTACATGGATCAATATATTTGCACGCGTGGCGACACCGATTATTTATTGCAAGAGGTAATTTTTTGTTCCATTCATTACCCTGGTAAAAGATCATTTTATCACTTATTATTTACTTTACTTCACTGCTTCGCTGTAGAACTTGAAATATTGGCGTTATCGAATGTATTTACTGCCGAAGGAGCATCCGGCCACAAAGAAAATTCTCGAGAGTCCGACAGCAATTCCGTGCGATATTTACATCGATAACCATGTGGATAGTGTGAAACAGCAAATTGACGATTTCATCCGTTTCGTTGAACAACATCTCAATAAATTGCGCAAAAGTCACATTCAACGAAGCACGACCAGGGTAAGTATTTGGCATTACCGATGAACATCTCAGCAGCCAGTTGATTTGATATGTAAATAATTCATCCAAAGTATGCCAGATTACTACAGTTCCTAAATTTGATAATTGACTTAAAAGTTAAATCTAATTTCTTTTCTTATTTCGATAAATTTTATGAGTTTTATCTTTGCCTAATTGATTTAAAACTTTATTTTCACTAATTTTTCTTCCACGTATTTTAATTAGAAGTTGATAATTTTGCGCCAGTAATTAATTGAATAACAAGAGTGAACACAAACACGCAACCAGTAAATCAATTTCTAAGTCGTAATTGAACGTAAAAGAAGCAACACTTTTTAAAATTCGAGTTAATAAGTTAAGATTAATTCTTCCTTTTTCAATTCACAATGAACCTTTCAATTGAAAATTGACAGCAATTCTTTTGTCTTGACCAAAACGATTTGAATTTTTTTTGTTGGAATTGATCAGAAATAGAAAGAAAAAAAAAGCTATGTATTTTTGAAATGAAAGAATTGATTGTTATTATTATTGCGTAATTATAGTTGTGAACACCCATTTTTCTCTCCTGGAAATGTAAACTTTGATTTTCTAACAAGAAATGAGCATAAGAGTTATTCGAATTCAAGACTAAACGAAAATAAGTATTGCGCGAAATATGCATCGATTGCATGGAAATTGCTAAAGAATTATTTTTAGGATATTATTGCTTTGTTCTAAAAAAAGTCCGTTGAAGTTTGGCTTAAAAACAGTGTCGTTTTTTGTATCGTTTCCTTAATTCTCATAACAGTCTACATCTGAGCCAGGGTAGCTAAAGAAAAATGATCGAGTATTTGTTTCGTATTTCTCGTTATCGTAATGAAATTCGAAATGCATATCCCGGAGGCAATGTGAACTTGATATCACAGAAGAGCGCATTGTTAATACCACCCACACACATTTTTTTATCCCCTTCTTATGTTTTCTTTTTTCTTTTTGTTTTGTTTTAATTTAAATTTTTTTATTTATTCTTTTTTCTTCCCTTTTTGTTGGATTTTATATTTTGAATTTCATAAACCGGTTTGTTGCCTAATGTTACTGTTGCAGGGAAGCCCCACAGTCCAACAAAGTCATCTGACACGACGTCGACACAGTACCAGCATTTTACCAAGACCGCCGCCACAGGTGCACATTTCAATCAATTACATTTCGGCAGAGAACAAAAAACAAATTATTTTTTATGTCTTGTTGCAAATCGATTCAAATTCTTCATCGATTTTTTTTATCCGAATTTGTTAGCTGTTCTGCGTCCTCTATCTCTCATTCACTTCATCATCATCACATACATACACACATCACATTCATCGAGCGACCGATCATCTGTTTACAAATTATTTTTTTTCTATGTCTCTCTCTCTTTTCTAACTTGCTATGGAAACAAACAAAAAACAATCGTCTTTGTTGGTCTCTCTCTTTTGTTTATAAATGGTTCATTTTTATTCGGTTATTTTAGCTGTGGAAATTTTGTCTTCACAATCGTTTTATTTTTTTTTCGTAGCCTTTCGCCCAATCGTCTAGCATTTTCTATCTGCATAATGTGTTTCTCGGAAACATGTTTTTTTGTTGTTGTTGTTGCTCATTCCTTGCGTTCGTTTTCTGTGCATATTCCTATTGTGATATTAAATTTTTTTTTAATTCCGATTTTACTAAAAAAAAAACTTGGTTTTAACTTGGCCTATGGATGTTTTGACTGTATATATTCTAACCCATTATGCTATAAATTTTATGAACACGGTGTTTTGTTTAACATGAACTGGATGGATATTCACGTGAAACAGGTTTAACTTTAAGGCCTCGGTTTTCTTTTTATTTTTTAAGCAATTTATTTAAAGCATGCACCAAATCCCCGAACAAATCCAGATATTTTCATTTGAATTTTATATATGTCTTAACCAAAGAGTGCTTCAAAATGAATACAAACACAATTTCCAAAAACAAAAAAATATATGTATAAACATTAGCTTTTGGCGAAATAATTCTGGCAGAAAAATTCTTTTAATTTCGAAATTATTTTTTTTCCATTCAATTTATTTGCAATTATCTAAATCAAACATTTTTTTGGAACACTCTTCAATATACTAACCCTTACAATGCTTTGACCTTTAGCACACAAGGTATTTTAAAGTGTCTTATAAATGGCAGGTTTATATAGTCAGTGTGATGGCGTCAAACAAAAAATCAAACACTATTTGAATGGTTTTATTAATATGCGATTTATTTTCACCGTTAGGTATTGGCCAATTCGCCATTCAGAGAACGATTGGGAAGCAATCGATTGCCAGCCACACGTCCAAGGTAATTGTTTTCAATGACTAGCACTATAAATTTGGCAGGTACTTTCGGCATTTTGATGTTCCACAAAAGCAAAGTTTCCGATTCGTCACCTCAGCTGATGGATTTAATTTATTCTCATCTTCACCGTAGTCAAAACAGAGCTCCTCGTTTGGTGCAATCGCTCTTTTGGCAAATATACCTATTGGATGGAATGTGCAAAATAATTCAAAATGTTCACAATTTGTCAAATTTTCCCACAAAAAATGGACACCAAAAAAATTCTGATAAAATGTGAAAAAATTCACCCAATTTTGGAATCAGTGCATCAACACGAACGCTAATAATTTGACAATTTGCATCACAGCTATGGTTTAAATACCGTCCAATGTTGCCGATACGACTTGGATCGATGAATGTTTGAATTGCTTCGCCATCCCCACATCCAATGGGTCGTTCATTCAGGCAAATAATGTAGTTCATTCTTCCATTTTCATCGTTGGTTCGAGATCGAATTGTTGCTTCTTCTTTACACAGGACCTCACCGGCATATTCACAAATAAATCCCCCTTTTGGAATTGTTTTCATCGTTGTCAATCCATATTGCTTGCCGAATTGTGAATAGTCTTCGATTTTCAAATCTTTTCGCGGACCAAATTGAATCAAACGATTGTGACAATACGAAGGACACAAGCACAGTTCCGAACATTCATAAATTACATCACGAGATTTTCGATTTTCATCGAGCATCAATTCCAATTGTGAAAGTTGGTCTTTGAAAATCACATAGTTACCGCCGTGAACGCACTTTGCTTGAGTGCACAGAAAATCTGTGTTTTCTGTTTCGTCTGGTGTACACTCACACTTCATTGTAATGAAAGAGTTGAATTTATCGAGTAGGGCATGATATGACTCATGTTCGGTTTTCGTTGTTTGAAGTAAATTTTCCATCACATATTCGATGCTGTCGTCAATGTGCTCGTATTCATCGAAGAGATCGATGCACAATTGACCTCTACACTCATAGGAGTTTCCTCGATTCAGGTCGTCCATTTGCCAATTCTATGAAAAAAGAAGATCAGTTTTAGACTCACATTAAATTTCATCAATTATTCGTTTTAGATCTGGCAGCAAGGTCTTTGACCGAAGCAACAGCACGAAAGTGATGCAAGCGTCCGATGCATCGATGTCATTAAACCCAGAACCAAGCCTAGTTATTACGACGGAGGACAACGAAGAAACATTTTTGACTGAAACCAAATTAAACGTTGCTGATGCGACAATCACTGAAATATTCGAAGCATTCCGACATCCGGCGACGGGCGTTAGTTTCTTAGCAAAAGTGCAAAGTTTACCATCGCATACATTTGTATCGTACGATGCCATCAATTGGTTAAACAATCGCATTGATGGTCAATTCAATGCCATCGAGATATTGGAACGAATGCGAAGGTAAACTAGAGATGCGTGAAAATGAATCTTCAAATTTTTTTTTTTTAATTTCCTCAAACCTTAAAAACAAATTTTTAATTTGGATAATTATCTATTCATCTAGAGAGGGGATGATTTGCCATGCATCGGGTGAAATATCGAAGCCAATTGTGGCCGGGTACTTTTTGTACTACATTGTGCTGCAAGACACAAAATCAAAAGACTATGTCAAGCCATTGAATGATCTAGAAGCGTTTGAAAATGAATGGATGGAAATCGAGTTGAAGTACGATAACACACCAAATACCAAAGAATTGAATGTGCCACGATATTTGCACGATTCGGTTGAGATGCACTTTTTGGATGGTCCCGTTTACAAGCAGCTGCACTTGGAAATTGATCCGACGCAAAAGAGTGATCGTGTTGAATGGGGCCATGTGCGTTATCATACAACGGTAACGCCGGGCTATGCATTCGAATTGGTTGTGCAATGGTTGACCGCCTCCGGTCCAATTGTTTACGAATTAATCTATGGCTGGATTCGAAAGGCACAATTATGCGGTTTCAATCTTGTGCCAATCCCGGCCGATCTTTTGGCTGAGCCATTCACCGAGAAATCCGATCCACTGCGGGGACCAATTTTTATCCCTCTGAATACGACGTGTTTGGAAAAGGATGGAAATTTATTATTCAAAGAGTTTCGCAAAGAAACACTCAACGATCGCTTGATTCTATTCCAAGAAGCAATTGTAGCACGGTTTGGTTTCATGCCAGCATATGTGGAAACGAAAATGGGCTCGAATGAATCGTCATTCGATCGGCAGTACGTTCATTGCACTGGGAATATGTTTGTTTTAGTGCCTTCACCGCATCAAGGCTTGAAAATTCGTCGTCGCCTTGCTTCGGGCAGCAAACTAAAGAAACCCACCTTCATCAAGCGATACCCACTGAACAACGTCTACACCGAATCACAAAGCACAACTCACGACACATACGTGACGCGTCATGTCAATCTACTGAAAACAAATGAATTCGACGTACCGCGAAAGATTGGCTTTTTATGGTCATGGAATCACATGGTGCCGAACAAAAAATGGAAATCATTTGTATTGAACAGCTCACCTGAGGGAGAACTATTCCAATTGCGTATGTTGGCCGATTTCAAAGACTTTTGCTCGAATCAAAATGACCGTTTAGTACGGTTTTACGAAGAGTGTTGGGAGAAAAAAGAAGCGGCTATTCAAAGTTCCGAAGAATAGTCGCATCATTCAACAATTTGCATAAGCTATTTAACGAAATAAACAGAATTTACTGTAAAAACAAACGGACGCTAAACGAATAGATGAATAAAAAACATTACGAAAACTAAAATTCAATGTTCTGTGTTTACATGTGAACTCAACCGAGTATTATTTGAAGTGTGTTTTTAGCTGTCAGATGTAAGTATGTTGAAATGTCAAAATTAACCATTTTGATACGTATCTGTCAAACACTCATTTGTATATACGGCATTTTGAATCCTTCGCACAGAAAAGAAGGAAAATCTACTGAGCGGCTCAAACCAAAGAAGGTACACACAACTATCGCAACCAATTCAACCAAGATGCTAGAGCAAATCAATAAATTCATTGAATACTGGTGGTTCCGCTACTTGATGGTCACCGAATTGTATATAGTGGAGAAATGGGAACGAGTTACAATGCGTAAGTACACATTCGGATGATTCACTGCCATCCGAAAAGCAAGTTAATTAGCATTTGGAATTAGTTTTTCATAAATATGGTCTTTTCATTGCAGACGTCATCATTCTGTTGCTGTTCTTGTTGGTGGGCTATTTCAATTTCAGTGTACTACTGCCGTTAGCTTCCAAATTGATACGACCTGCATTCGATTGGCGTGCTGACCCAATCCACTACTGAATCATTGTTCTGTGTTATAATAATCAATTTGAAGTGAATTTTTCAATAAAAATAAGCC